TGTTCCTGTCCTTCCTCTGCTGCTCTTTGGCTGTGAGGGTGGGGACTCTGTGGTCCCTGAGGCATCTGCCAGAAGCCTGCCAGCGAGGGTGACCAGCTTGTCCCAGTTTGCTGGGGACTCTCCTGGTCTCAGCGCTGCAAATCCTGTTATGTGGGAACCCCGTTCGCCCCTGTGCCCTTCTCTCTGCTACCCCAGTGTCAGCATCCCCATCTCCACCTGCACCCTGGAACTTGCCCTTCTTTTCCTGCCCCCTCGCTGCCCCAGGGATCTCTGGGGTCTCACTGTCCCTCGCACTGTTTCTCGGCCTCTCTCTTCCCTCTCTGCAGTCAGCGTCTCCAGCGCTCCTGTCACTCTCTGGGGTCTCTCTGTCTCCTCTCCTGTCCCCAGGATTGTCACCTTGTTGGTTTTTCAGGTCTGTCTCTCTGTTCTCTGCCCACTTCCATATCTTCCCTGTCCGCCTCTGGTGTCTGCCCCCTGTCTCCCCATTCCTGTTCCAGCGTCTCTGGCTCACCCCCTTCCCTGGGTGGTCCAGGTCTCCCTCCTCTCCCCCGGCACGCACCCCCAGGGCTGGCTGGGGTGGGAGCCAGGTCTGGGGGCTGTGACCAGGCCAGGAAGGGGAACCCAAGCAGACATATTTATGTTAGGACTTCAAAGTGGAGCAGAGCCTGAGGCAGGCTTGGTGGGGGCCAGTGGGGGTAGGAGAGGGGAGGGGGGTGGTGAGCCAAAGCCTGATTAAGGTCAGCTCAGGCCCCTCCCTGGTGAGGGTCTCCTTGGTGACACTTATCTCCCCCATGGGACACTGAGACCTAGAGTGGGGACAGAACAGGCTATTTTGGTGCAGAGTTCCAAGAAAGGCACTTCCTGCAACCCCTCTCCTGCCTCCAGCCCCATCCTTTCTTCCTGTCACCCTGCAGGAGCAGCCGGGTCCTCTGAGCATCAGCCCAGCCAGGGAGGCAGGGGGCTCAGGAGGTGGCAGGAGCAGAGGGCTCCATCTCAGCAGGAAAACATCCCTGGCGCTGGGACAGCCGTGTGTTCTCGGCTCTCTGGAAGAGGCCTCGCCTGGCAGGGCAGCCAGGGTCTGTAACCCTGTCAGCCCTGACTGGGCCAGCCCGGTCCAGTCCTTCAGGGCCTCTGGGGTCCACTCCGGCTGCCGGCCTGAGGGCCCAAGGGGCCAAGATGGCCGTGAAGGTCACCCCACCCCTGCCCCCCACCCTTGGCCTAACCCCTGCTAAAGACACCCAGCTGTTGGGGCTGGGAAGGCATGGGGTCAGGGGCCCAGGCCCCGGGTGGGGAGGGCGGGAGGGGCTGATTGTCTCATCCTGTGGGCTCAGCTCCTGTCCTAAGGCCCTCCCAGAGGCCAGACCGAGCAGACACCCCTCAGGCTGGGCCACCCTTCAGGAAGCCCCCTCCCAGACTAGAGGCTTTCTCCGGACCCAAGATCCTTTCTAGTGGGAAGCCCACCCAGGCCCCCAAAGCCCCAGCCCCTGGGTCATTACCCCCACCCTCCCAGATCCTCCCCAGGCTCTTCCCGTGAATCACTCAGGCTGGAATCTGATGAGCTCAGGCCTCCCCGCCCAGTACTGCCGGACTCTGCCTCCTTCCTGGCCACTGGGGTTACCACACCCCCCACGGGGGTCTTCTCAGCAACTTCCAGCCCCCACCAGGGTCCACCATGGCCTGGAATGGCTGAGTGTGGCTGGGATAGGCTGGGCCTGGAGTGAGATTAGTCGGGATCAGGGCTTGGACCTCTTCTACATGATCAGAAGTATGAAAGTATGTGCGTGTATGCGCATGTGCGTGTGTGCGCCTGTGTGTGCACCTGTGTGTGTGCATGTGTGTGCGTCTGCACGTGTGTGCACGTGTGCGCATGTGTGTGCGTGTGCGCGTGTGTGCACGTGTGCACATGTGTGTGCGTGTGTATACTTCCTATGCCTGTGCAGCATGAGAAGCAAGCCCACATACCGTGTCTGAGGGAGGGACTTGGCGGTGCTACCCGGGTAGGTGTATGTCACCGAATCCCTGTGTAGCACTCACCACGTCTCTGTGTCAGCCTGTCCCCATGGATGTGTGTCACCGAGTCACACTCTGAACCCGAGGCAGGGAGGGTGTTGAGGGAACGTCTGTGAGCTTGCAGATCTGGGGATGTCTGTCAGAGTGTGGCTCAGAGGAGGGGCCCGTGTGTGTGTCACCGTGTCCCATCCCGCAGGGCGTGAGTGGCTAACAGTCTCCAGGTGTTCCCAACACTCCGAGTGTTCCTGTTAAGGCTGGGGGTGCCCAGGTGTTCCGCGCATGACTGTAGCCTACCGGATGTCACAAATTCTGTGTGCAAACAGGAGTCCAGATGTTTCTGTGTGTTAAACTGGAGGGGGGCGAACATGGGTCGCGAGACCATGGCAGAGTGTTAAATGCTCTGTGTTGACGGTGAGTGAAGGTGGTGGTGTGGGTTTCAATGACTGCCTTTCTCCCCACCCCTCCCAGGGCCCCTCTCGGGCCACTCCACAGGCCCTGGCTCCCGGCTCTCCTTCCCAACCTCTGTTGGCAGGACTCTGTTCGCAGGACGAGCCCAGGGCCCCACTGCGGGGATGCTTCCCCACCCTGGCACCTGGCTGGGTGCAGGAGCTCCGAGTGCCCGGGGTTCCTGGGTGGCCTCCTGCAAGAAGGGGGCCGGGCATGTGCCTGGGAACGGGCATGCTCGCCCCCTGGCGGCAGCGATGGAGAATGCGCCGCCCCAGCCCCAGGAACTCGGAGGAACTGTTTAGGCGGCGTCTTCCCGAATCAGTCGTTCCACATCCATCTACTAACTGCCAGTTCCGGGCCACGCATTGTTCTAGGCCCCCGAGATTTACAGGCGAACAAGGCTGACTTGGCTCTGGCCCAGTGGGGAAGACAGACCATAAACTCACACAGGGAGCTGTGGCGCCTCTAGGGGTGAGGGGCAACAAAGAGCAACGTTTCCAAGCGAGGAAGGGACCTCGCTGCTGCTTGCGAGCCAAACGCCAGCCTTCCAGTCCTGCTCTGCAGCCTGGCGTGCTGGGCAAGGTGCGGCACCTCTCGCGTGACTTCCTCTTCCAGAAGGCCAAAGGTGGGAGGCAGCGTGAGGGAGGGGCAGCGGCGAATCCCGACGCACGCACAGGGCGCGCTGTTCTTGCCAGATTACGCGTTTCCCTCGGGCTGGGGCTGGGGCTGCTTGGTCCTTGGTCCGTTCGGACACAGTCGATAATTCCTGAGAGGATGAGTAAATGAGCGCTTCTGTTTTGGAGGATGGCAGAATCCCGAAGCTCCACAGAAGCCGGCGTCCCAGCTCCTTGCCCTGTACTAAGCCACTTTCCCTGGGCAAGCCTCTTTGCCTATCTGTAAAATGGGGATGAGATCAGACTTAGATGGGCCTATCATTGCCTGCCCTGCTCGGAGTCCCCATCCCCGGATGGTGACCCTCGATCATGCTGAGTTACCTGGCCTCGGCCCCTGACCAAGCACAATGTCTTGAGAAGAAAAACCAAAAGGCTCCGTAGCAGGCAGGGCCCAGCAGTGCTCTGAGAAGCCACTGCTAGGGGGGTGCTAAATTCCCAGAGCCTGGAACTGGGACTGAGCACAGTAAGGGGTTAGGAGGGGCTTGCAGAGGCCCCCAAGGAAGGGGCTCAAAAACCTCCGCCTGTCCCGGTTCCCGTGAGACCAGCTCCACATCCGGGGTTCTCTGAGCACCCCTGGCAACCGTTCTAGGTTTTCCTCTGGAACTGAACTTGAGACATCCTGTGTTTGGTTCCCAGAACCCAGGCCCCCACTTAACCTCCCAGCTCCCCACCTCACTGCCCTTCACTCTTATTTATCAAACTCCAATCAGGGGACAGCATTTATTGAGTGCCTATGCAGTGCCCAGTGCTGGGCAAGGCACTGGGGGGTGGGGGTGGGATAGGGAGGAAAGACATACAAAAGGGGAGACTCCCTACCAGCAAGAAGCTTAGAGTTGGGGGTGGAAGTGGGGAGGTAAGAGCTGCTGGTGGTCCTAGAGAAACATTTGGGAGCCCTGCCCCCAAATTTGGTGGTATCTGTCTCTGGACTGTCAGAAATCCCAATGTCCAGGATTTCTACCTTCCAGGAGTTGTCATGTCTGTCTCACATGTGGGCTGATGTCCCTTTGTGCTCAGCACCTGAGGGAGTGCCCCAGAGACTGGCTGGGGTCCTCCTTCCATCAGGGGACAGTTCCTTCCCAGGGAGTGATACCCCTGGAGTTTGCTTCACCCAGGTCCCCGACTCCAAGGCAGCTGAGGGCCGGCGGTGCTGGCCCCTGCATTGACCCCAGGTTGCCCGGTGGCTGCAAGAGCACGGGGCCTCTGACCATCTGCCTCGCGGCGGACCTGGAGACGCCCTCGCCCCTCCGAATTACCCACTGGCCACTTCCTGGGCCACGCGCACCCCCTTGTGGTCATTATTGGCATTTTCTTCGCTCCATTGGATCCCGGCTCTAGGCCCTGCCTTGGGGCTGAAGGACCCTTAGGGTTAATTTATCGGTGGTTTAGAATAAAGGGCGCTTAGTTGGAGCCTGACACCTGGTTTGGGCGGGGAACCTGTAATGGCCGGCTGTGCGATTGATACCTTAGGAGTCACTTTCCCAAACCTCGGTGTGTAATAAGCCACGCCCAGCCTGCCGAGAAGCTCTTGTGAGGTCCAGAAGACTTCAGTGCAGAGAAACCAGGGGACTTGCGGGAGAAGGCAGGGCAGAACTGCACCCTCTCTTTCCAGAACACTGAAGTCTGGAGCTGCCAGTCCTCCAGCTGGGCTACGGCTGGCCTGGGCTCTGAGTCGTTGTTGGCTCCCTGAATCCTCCCGACACCCAGGAGCAGGTGAAGCCTTTCAGAGCCTTGAAGACCCCAGCTGGGAGGGGCTGCCAGAGGCTGGGCTCCTGTTGGGGTTGTCCCCTGCTGGGCACACTCAGCACTGAAGGCTGGCTGGCCTCTAGCAGGGAGGGAAAGGAGAGAGGCAAAGGGCCTGAGCCCATGGTTGGGGTCCCTCAAACCCCCTCCACTTGATTCCAGTGTTCCAGATGCAGCCAGGCCAGGCACCACCCCAGCAGGTGTGATCACAAGAGCTAAGTGTCAGACGGAGGTGATGGCAGACGCAGGAGTGGCCTGGGGTGGGGAAGCCTGCGAGGGGTGGGGCTGACAGCTCTGAAAGGCCTTCCCAGCAGGCTCAGAGTTTTCTGTCCCAAATGACCCTTCTGACCACTTCCTGCTACTCCTCTGCTGCCCGGCTTCCCTCAGCCTCTGGCCCCCCTGGCTGAGCGGGGGCCCCCTGGGCCCTCTCCGCAATGGTCTCAGACTCTCCCCTACTGTCCCCAGGACCAGCTTTGACCTCGATGTCCCCATCTCCCCCACGCCCCTTCTCCTCCTCCCTGCCCCCTGCCTCTAGCTCCCCGCTGCTGTCCTCTGGTGAGGCCACAGGTGAGGCCCCCTGGGTCTCAGGCCGCTCCGCCCTGCGATAGACAAGGTAGCCAGTTGCAGGGAGCCTGTGGACCAGGGCTCCAAGGGGCAGGCGGTGGTAGCCCTGCTCCTTGTACAGGAAGAGGCCAAATGTGTCAGTCTGGGTCACTCGGAATTTGGTGGCACAGAGCTGGTTCAGGGTGGCAATCGAGGCCCCTGGAGGCACAGCCAGGGTCTTGGAGGTGCAGCCACTGCTGGGGTCCTGGTAGGCTACTCGGAGGAGGTGCTGTGTAGGAGGAGAAGCAAAGCAAGAGCTCAATCCTGCCTGGTCTATATCTGGCTGCAAAGCTTGAGGTCCCAGGGTAGGCTTTGCAGAGACAGGGTGCAGTGGTATAAATCCAGGGGTACAGCCAAGAGACGAAAGCTTTTTGGACAAGTGGAGCTGCAAGTGGGGCTCTGAGGAAAGGAGAGATCTGCCTTGGCTAGTGAGTCAGAGCTGCAGGCTGGCAGGAAGGGTGGCCCCAGCAGCTCTCCGGAGCCTGACAACCCTACTCGGAACCTTCCCCTGTGCCCTAAGCACCTGTCCTGCATTCACTCATTTCATCCACATATTGACCCCAGGAGATAAGTCCTGTTGCCTCATTTTATAGATGAGGACATCGAGGCACAAAGAGGTTACGTGACTTGCCCAAGCTCCTGGAAATAGAAAGTAGCAGAGCCAGGATTTAAAGCCAGCATCTGGCTACAGGGTCTAAACTCTTAACCAAGGCTAGGAAGGGTCCCTTGACTGGATGGAGAGGAGGGTGAGGGGAGCACAGGCTGGGAGCCTCACTCCAGGGGAGGGCAGAGCCCCAGTTGGGGGCCAGAAGCCAGGATTTGGGGCTGGAGCTTACCCCATGTCCCTTTCCCCCTCCATGTCATGTCTCCGTTTCCTCATCTGTAAAATGGGATAATAATGGTCCTAATTCCAAGTTTCTATCAAGCTGCAGGGCTGAGCCCCTAGAGCACATGGATCCCTCTCGAGAAAAGCTAGGCTTGGACGTCCACACAGGGTGCTGCTTCTATGACAGGGTGATGTAGGACTAGCCTCTCCCCCGCCAGGTCTCACTAGGAAAAGGAGGGGACTATGCAGGATGGTGCCAGAACCCAGCCACCCCCACCGCGCCCCAGGGGTTGGGTGGTTCAGGGTGGCTGGCGTGGAGGCCCTGTTACCTGGGAGCTGTGGGTGGCGGGCAGGCGGCGCTGCTCCCAGAGGCTGAGGGAGCGCTGTAGTTCCTGTGAGGGGCTCAGGGGGAGGGTGTGGGCCTGGTCCAGGCCACTCAGCAGGGCCAGACTGGCCGAGAGGCTGGTCAGGTAGTAACCGCCTGGGACACAAGGGGAAGAATGCAGCTCAGGCTGGGGGTAGGGGACACTTGGCCACCCTCCCACCACTTCCTGGGGGCCATGCAGCCCCTAAGCACCCCAGTCCCACACAGACAGGGAGGTGGCACGTGGAGGAGCTCCCTCACCCTCTCCCGTGAGCAGGCTGGGCTCCAGCAGCTCCGACATGTACTCAGCCTCCAGCAGCAGCTCGGGAAGGTCGCACTGGGCCAGGACAAGGCTTAGCAGTGGGAGGAACTCATCTGCCCCTGCGCCCTCCCCTGGGGGGTGGTAGAGGAGGAAGCTTCAGACTCCTCTGGGGCTCCAGGGTCGGGTGTCCACTCCGTGTCTCAGACAGTGACCCTCCCTTCCACCTGCTGGGCCTGGAGTGATGTGGTCTCTATGGCAACCACAGACAGGGGCTGGGGAGAGGATGCTCTAGTCTCTGGGCCTCGGTTGCACCATCTCTGAGATGGGAGTGTTGGACCCATCCCCCCCTCCTGCTGTGCCATTCTGGAATCTCTGGGGGGCCTGCCTCTGACTGGGCAGGGGGGCAGGGGGGCAGGTGGGGGCGTACCCGCGTGGGTCCTCAGGGCTGTGTAGAGCAGCTTGCAAGCCTGCAGGAGCCGCTTGACCTGGGCGCTGGGAGAGTAGGCCCTGAGCAGCTGCAGCAGCTTCTGGCGCACCTGCTCCATCTCCACCGGGGAGGGCAGGCTCACTTGGGACCCGAAGGCTCCAGGGCCCTGGGCCCGGGCCAGGCGGAGGCCTTCAGCCAGGCGGCCCAGGGAGCCATTGGCGGAAAGCCGGCGCCGCAGGCGGGCCGCCAGGATGGGCCGGAGAGGCTTGAGCACGGAGCGATGCAGCGACTTCTCCAAGATGTGTTCTGCAGAGGAGAGGTGGGCAGGGTCAGGGGAACCTGGGGCGCGAATAGGGGTCCCCGGGATGGGGGTGTAGTCAGGGAGAGAGAGGGACGAAGAGGAGGAGGAATCTCGGTGAGACGGGAGAAGAGGGGGAGAGAGGCGGGGAACGGGAAGAGCTGGAGTTAACGGGGGAGGGGAGAGGCGAGCTGAGCCTGTGGAGCCCAGGCGCGGGGTCTCACCCAGTCTCTCGGGCGGCAGCAGCTTCTCTGGGCCCAGCTCCGCACTCAGCATGGCCCGGGCCCGGCTCAGCGCCTCTCGGACCCCCTGCAGCTCCCGGGGCTCAGGGCCAGCCCGCACCTGGGTCAGTAGGTCCTGCACCAGCTGGCCCACAGCTGTGTGTCGGTCCTGTGTCAGCGCCGCGGCGGCCCGGCCCACCTTCCGCTCGGGCGCCAGCAGGGAGCAGAAGGCAGCGCTCATGGACCGAAGCAGGGGCCGCCGGCGGCCCAGGCAGGGGGAGGTCGCTGGGCTTCCCCGGGACCCCGGCACCCCCTCCTCTTCCGAGCTGCTGGGGGAGCCGCAGTCTACCTCCTGGAGGGAGGGCAGCGGGGGGAGGCTGGGCCTGGCACCCCCTGGCACACGGTACCCCACTGAGCTCTCCCTTCGCAGAAGCTGGCGAGGGGGTAAGCTTTCTGTCTGGTTGGGGGCTGCAGCTGGCAGCACGGGGACTGGGGGAGGTGGCACGGCAGGTGGTGACAGAGGACTGGAGGTCTCCGTGGACACACGCACTTTGAAGCTCCTCTTGAATTTCTCCCGCTTGGTGGGGCCCAGGTCCCCCGGGAACAGGGGATTGAAGAAGCACAGGGCGGCTCCTGTGCCCTGGTCCAGCTCTTGCGGGGACCGGGGCTTCAGCCGGGGCAGCAGTTGGCCTTCAGATGGGCCCAGCTGAGCCTTGGTGTTGAGGGAGGAGCTCCAGAACTCTAGGGAAACCAATTGGGGCCTCAGGGAGGTTTGGGGAGGGTGCCATGTGCCCGCGTGCCTTCCCTTTCCTTCTTGGCCTCAGCTTGTCCATCTGTGCAATGGGTAGCAGAAGAGCCCTTACCAATGCCCAGATGGGAGATGGCTTCGAGTTCCTTGTGGGTGGCTGCCTGGCAGATGGCTCTGGGGAGCTGGAGTGGGAGGAGAAGGATGTCCCTGAGGCCAGAGAGGGAAACAGAAAGCCAGGGGTGTGAGGGATGCTCAGGGCTCGGGGGGCTGACAGGACCTGCAGGGGTTGGGAGGACAGACTGTCCCAGGGAGCTGGGACCAACGGACACCAGCCACCCTGCGGCCAGGCTCACCGGGTATGGCAGTAGGCGCAGATGAGCTGGATCAGGTCTGGGAACATGAGCTCTGAGCCCTCCAAGGAGACACCTGAGAAGATGAGGAGTGCGGTTGTTCTCTGGGAAACACCCCTGCGCCGGGCCCTGACGGCTTCCAGCCCCTCCCCCCCCCCACCAGGCCAGTCCCGCTCACCCCCAGGGCTCTCCTGGATGTAGTGGCTAGAGACAAAGGAGGGGCCACTGGCCTCGGGCAGCCGCACGCACAGGGCTTGGCACCCGCGAGTGTTAGATTTCCGCACCAGGAACGTCTGCAAGGGACAGGGGTCGGAGGCTCGGCACCTCCGTGTCCGGCCTCTCTCCCTCTCTCCGCCCACCGCCCCCCGCCGGCCAGTGCCGGGGTCAGGGGCACGACTCACCCCCGGGGGCTCAGTCCTCAGCACGTGCAGTGCGGCCGCGGCGTTGGCCCGCAGCTGCAGCCACACGGGCCGCGTGAGCAGCAAGCGCTCCCGCAGGCTCACGGTGCGCCCAGGCCGCTGGGGCCCGCCCGCCTGCCGCCCGCTGGCCCCGGGCACGTCGTACGGCGGGTCCTCGGCTGGCCTGCGGGCGGGCGGCCGACTTGAGCAAGGGATCAGGGGGTGGGACCCTTGCTTCACCCTCTCCCCCTCCTCTGCCCTGGGACGGACCCTGCTCTGCCACCTCTCCCTCCCAGGCTGCCCTTCCAACTTCACTAACTTTCCTCTCTCCGGGCGCCCAGGTGCGAAGGTGGACAGGCTGGGGGCTCCGAGAGGTCCAGCTCCCGGCTCCCCAGGGGTTTCCATGGCTGGGAGCTCCTTTGGTTTCTCCCGGTTTCTCCCAGGACTCAGGAAGGGAATCCAGCCCCCGAGGCAAGAGCGCTCACATTCCGGGCGGTGAGTAACACTTCCTGAGGGCGGTTCGCCCTGTCACGCCCCACCAGTTAACTCTTGTGTGTCCACTCAGCCCGGGCCGAGCCCGCTTCCTCTCTGTTCTGGGCCCAGCGTCAGGGGGCAGGGGTTCTGTCCGTGCAAGCGCCCCTCCGAGAGCCCCAGCTGTGGGGCCGCCACCTCCACACGGTGCATCCCGGAGCCTTATCGGCCTCCTCAAACCACACAAGCAGGCGGGAAGGGGTTAAGCAGGGCCCATCTGGGTCCCCACAGGCCCCAGTTTGGCCCTCGGGGTACCTTTAAGTCTGCGGTCAATGGCTCATCTGTGCGTGGCCCTGGGGTCAGCCCGGTGGGAGAGCACCCTCTACTGGTCACAGATGACTCAGTCCTGAGCCTAACTTGGGTTTTGGGATTTCAGGTTGCCATGGAGAAAGGATGCTGTTGTCTCCATGGAAACTAACCCCTTTGCTTAACTGAGGTTCTGGGGGTGGTTCTAACACGCGGCGCTAAACGGTGGGGGGGGGCGGTTTGGTTGTGAGGTCGTCAGCACAGGGGGTGCTGCCAGCTGCCTCCTACGCACGCAGGCCCTGCCAGCCTGCCTTACCAATCCGCCAAGGGACTGGGGCAGGTGCAGACGTGACCCAGTCTCCCAGCCTGGAGCACACAGCTGCCTTCCCCACCCCAGGACACATGGTCTGCCTGTGCCACGTGTTGCTTCAGACTTGGCTCAGGAGCCCTTGGTCAGCCAGGGCTCACTCCCCCACCTCTGGGAGGTGTGGTGGGCGAGTCCCCCCTTCTCAGATACCCCAACTCAGAGTAGGTTGGCTCCTGCCGGGTAGTGAGGGGAGGTACCAGGGACTCCAGGAGAGCCTGCCTGACTCAGGCACTCCCCGTGGGAGCCCTGATTCTCTTGCAAGGTAAATCAGACACACACAGGTCACGCCAGAGTCCCAGGAGAGATTTTAATTCCAGTCCCTGCAATCTGGGAGACACCAAGAACCTCCTTGAGAAGACCCGGGGAGCCTGCCTTCTCACCTCCAACAACAGCCAGGAGAGACAGGCCCCGAAAATATAACGTCTGGCTCAGTTCCCACAGAGTGGGGCCCAGCTCACTGGCTCAGCAACTGGTCCAAGGTCAGCAGGAGATGCTGCTTTGGCTTAAGACGAGCCACATCTTCTTTGTCTAGGAGGGCACCAAGGAGGCTGCCCTTTGGGAGGGGGAGGTGGTGCACTCACTGGGGACGGAGGAGACAGTCTTGCCTGGCTAGGGCAGCTCTGGGCCACAGCTGTGCAGGCCCCCGAGGAGGGCAGAGGGGTCCGGACCAGCAATGGCTGGAGGGGAAGGTCCAGCAGCAGCACCGGAGAGCTGGCTGGACAGACCCCGAGGGGCTTGTCAGTCTGCCTTCCCACAGCAGGAAAATGCGAATCCTGGCTTTGCTGACAGCTGCCCCGAGGGGCCCCTTGACTCCGAACAGCACGGTCATGGTCCTAAGGAAGAAGCACTGCAGGTGAAAAGCTGAACCCAGAGGGGAACACCACTGCCTATGGGGGGCTGAGAGGAACAGCCTGAGGCTGGCCCAGGGCAGCTCTACGGCCTGCACCCATGGGCCCGGCATTCCAGCCCTCCCTGACCAGTCCCAGGTGCGGGGAGCTTCATCCCCCAGCCCCATTGACTTAGAGCTTCCCTACCCCACCCCGGCGGATCCCGCTCCCCAAACCGATCCGCTCCCCAAACCATTCTAACTGGGGCCACTGATCTGACATAACCACTGCCTCTTTCTGGGCTCTTTTCCAGGACGCTGGGCTGGGGGAGGGGGTGGCAGGAGGCAGAACAACTCCTGTGGTTCTTACCATCTGCTTTTCTCTTCTGAGGGGACACAGCTGCCCTGGCCTGGGTGGGTAAGAAGAAAAGCCCCCCTTGAGAGCCTGCCTCCAGCTTGGCAAGTACCCTCCTCCACATCAGTTTCTCTGGGGTGGGGGCACTGCTGGGTCAGTGCAGCATGGAGATGTGGGGGGCGGGGCATAAGACCCTTTCTAGGCAAAGCTCTGATGTGGTCCCCTGACAGACACCAGGCCAATCCAGCCCAGAACAGCTGCCTTCCCTCCCTCCCATCCTATCAAAACCTGCCCTGGAAAGAGGAAGGGGCTGACACAGATTAAAAGGACCCTCCTGCAGGGAAGCCTCAGGCCAGCGCCTAGGTGGCTCAGTAGGTTAAGCATCTGACTCTTGATTTCTGCTCAGGTCAAGATCTCAGGGTCATGAGATCGAGCCCCACATCAGGCTCTGTGCTAGGAGTGACCCCTACTTGGGATTCTCTCTCTCCCTCTGCACCCGCCCCCACTGCACCACTTGCACACGCAAACACATTCTCCTCCTCTCTCTCTAAAAAAAGGGCAATGCCAGGGAACCCTGGGCTAAAGGCAGGAGGTGCTGAGGGCTTTAGCAGAGCTCCCAGGCCCTCAGGAAGCCCAGGCGTGGTGAGCCCACAGAGACCAAAGCTGGGGTCAGGGATGGGGACCTGCATGAGGGAAGCAGGGGCCCTGACCCCACCTTTTTGATAGCCGTCCAGTCCTCCAGGATGTCGATCTCCTGCAGCATGTACACGATGTAAGGACCTGCAATGGGGGTCAAGGAAACAGGAAGCCCAGTGGAGGGGACGGGTGTCACAGCGGGGAGGGGGCTGAGGACCCAGGTTAGAGCTCAGGTTCTGTCTCCTCCCTCTTGGCTCCCAGGTTCTTGGGGCAGGGCCTGTGGCCTCTTCACGAGTCTGTGGGGGGTACTGAGCCTCACCCCTACCTCCCCTCGGCTCCCCCTCCCCCCTCCAGCGTAAAGGTCAGGAGGTGAACACCCAGCCCACCCACTCAGGGACCTTGCTCCCTCTACTCCCTGTCCCCTTCCTGTCCCTTCATTTGGCCCCTTCTACACACAGATTTCAGTCTCTTCCACTCTGGAGACAACCCTCCTTTGGTCTCCCACTCCCCTCCGGGGACCATCTGCTCTGCCCTCCTGGGCTCTGTACCTGATGTCTCCGCGCCCTCGCCTCCCATTCACCCCTCAAGTCCTTGCTGCCCAGACACCTCCCCCCCTGCCTGACCCGACTGCCATCACCAGGTGGCCAGTGTCCTGAGAGTCTGATGGCCGCAGAGTACCCGGGGCTGGAGGGCGTGAGGATTCCATTCCAGTCTGTGCTGGGCGCTGCCAGGAGGGACGAGGGCTCAGAAGGCCCTGAGCTGAAGGGGCTCACGCCTAAGGTGGGGCAGGGGGCAACTACAGTATGGGATGTGGGTGCCCCAGTTTAGGCCACAGGGGTGCAGAGTAGAGAGAAGGCACTGCCACTGGGGAGAAACCAGGAGAGGCTTCACAGAGGACGTAACATGTGAGACAAGCCCTGACCAGGCAGAGATGGGCAGCAAAGCTTTCCAAGAAGATGGTGGAAAGTGAAAGCAGGCGGAGGAGGAGGTGGTAGTGGGAAAGTCTGGGACCTGTCGGGGATGTTGTGGGAAAACCAGAAGAGCCTCGAAGAAGACTTCACTCAGCAAGTTAAGGGGAGTCACTGAGTGGACACTTCTATTTCTCTATGGTCCACACGGCCCAGCAGAGACCCAGGGCCTCACAGAAAATTCCCGACAGTTGGATTTGCCTATGTGTCTAGCGTGACTCCGCCTTCCAAGTCCCTCTCCACCCCCGCCTCCCTTAACCCTGACGTCCTGCCCGGTTCGGGCTGCCCTGGGTGGAAGGATACCAGAAACGAGAGGAGCCTTCTTCCTCTTGCTGGCTGGCAGGGAGTCCCAGGTCTTTGCGCTGCTTCTGGCGTGCAGTTTGTCATCCCACCACTCTGTGCCCCCAGAGCCAGAGTCAGGATCAAGGTGCTGGCCCTCCCAGGACACCCCGCCCTTGTAGCTGTGTCCCTCACAGGAGCCAGGCCAGCCCTTCCCCCTCCTCTCCCTCCCAGGGCGGTGGAGAGCACCCGGGGGCCGGGGGCATGGAAGCTGAGGTCAGGGCCGGATGGCATGGTTGTGCGAGCCTGGGGGAGGGGGCCCCTGTACTTTTGTCAGCCCGGTTTCTTCATCTGTTTAGTGGCCAGTGGGCCAATGACCATTCCGGCCTCCCTAGGACCCCCTATGAACACAGGCACTGCGGACATGGAGGGGACTGTGGTTGTTGTAGGTGTGGGGGTGTCAGAATGGCACCTCCTGTTCTGGAAAGAGAGCAGGGGCCGAGGAGGGCAGGGGGACCCATTCTTGCTGAGCCTCCACTGTGCACCAGGCCCTGGGCTGGGTCCTTTCTGTGCCTGGTTCTGTTTGGGCCCCACAGTGACCCCATGAAGCAGGCTCCCCGACATGCTCCCAGGGCAGGCAGAGCAGCAGACGGGATGCGCAAGGACAGAGCGGCACCTAGGGCAGCCTCACCAGAGCTGATGTCCAGGCTCTGGCGGTCCTCCTCCAGCCTCTGGATCCGCTCCTGCAGCTCCCCCTGCAGGGTGTCGTAGAGCAGCAGCTTCTCACTCTGGAAGGGGCGGAGCCACTCAGCGGGCGGCGGGGACCAGCCATTTCCGCTGCCCCCGCCCCTCCCGCCCCAGCACCCAGTCACATTCACCTCCAGGTGCTGTTTGGCTCCCTGCAGCTCACACTCATACTTGTTCCGGATCACGTCCAGACAGAAGCCCTTGTAGATCCCTACAGTGATGGGGGGAAGGGGAGATGGGAAGCCCTGCTTGGCGAGGGACCCAGGTGTCCAAAAGGGGGAGCCAGGAGCAGGGCCGGTCAGGGCAGGGATGAGAAAAGCAGGGAGCAGAGAGCCAGGGGCTCTGGCAGACGAAGAGGTAGGTGGCCTGGGGGCTGCCCCAGAGCACAGGACAGCCCACAGACCTGCCACCTGAATGCGGATCTTGAGGCTCCGCTGCAGCCCCCCCAGAGGCTCTGTGTACTCAGGTGCTCTCTCAGCCCCCACTTCCTCCAGCCGCACCCTCAGCTGACTCAGCCGTTCCCTGAACAACCTGGGAGGGAAAAAGGCGTGTCTATCAAACACGTGGCCGAGCGCCCGGCACTCCCCAGCCAGGCCTGCGTGGCAGGCCCTTGGCCACCCCTGCCCCGCGCCAGGCCGGCTGCCTCCTCACCCCGGGTGCCGGGAGACCCAGCCCTGGACGCCCCACGCTCACTTCTCCTTTAGCTCCGAGAACTGCTTCTCCAGGTCCAGCATCTCGTTGACACACTCGCTGCGACGCCGCTCGTAGTCCTCCTCATCCATCTCTGGGACAAGAGGCCAGTCAGCGCTGGCTGAGGAGGAGCGGCCGGGCACCCGCGTGCGCGCCTGGGGGGCTCACCTGAGCTCTCCTCCTCTGACTCAGTCTGGCTGCCGCTCCGCTCCTCCTCACTCTCTTCCTCCTCCCCATTCATCTCGGCAGCCGAATCGCCCTCTGCTTCCATCTCTTCTGTGTCTTTGCTTGGAGGCTGGACGGGCATCTGGGCTCTGGGAGAAGGAGGGGACCCATCACTTATCATTGTCCTCAGTTCCGAGCAGGAAAGTGGCCATGCGGGGAGTCAAACCAGGCCCTGTCTGCGCATCTCCCAGAGGCCGGAAATGCTCCCGTCCTGGCACATTGCTGGTGATCCTGATCTGGGGAATGCTGGCCAAGGTGGTGGTCTGTAAGATGGGAAACAGCAAGGATGGGCTCCCCCACTTCCTCTGGGACTGCGCCCACACTTGTGAATGGGGCATTTAAGGCCCTGCGCAGACTGAAGTACTGGGCCAGCGGCTTCACCCCACCATCTAACAGTCAGTCCTTAAGTACACCATTCCTTCCTTCTCTCCACCCCTTCTGTTGATCCTTCCACCTGGAAGGCCCTCTACTTCTCTTCCTGAGAACACTTGGCAATCCTCCCGTTGCCTCGCTGTGCTCCAGGTCAACGCCCGTGTCCTTCTGCTTTCTCTGGAGCCTCATGCTACCAGTACCCCTTCTCCACTGTTTCTCCAACCCTCCCTCTTGACAGCTCCTGCCCAGGAAACTTCAAATGTGTTCAGGTATTGTCCCCCATTTAGAAATAGAAGAAACACAAAACCTCACCCTATTCCACTTAACCACTCCCCATTTCCCACCTCACAGCGACACTTTTCAAAGCTCTGGCTGTTCCTATTCTTTCACCTCCCAGGTGTTCCCTTCCATTTCTCTCTGATTGCCCTTGGCTGACATGAATCGTGTGGCGTTAGACGACCTCCTGGTGCCCAACGCCAGTATTCTTTAGTACTTCTCTTAGCTGACTTCTCAGCAACAATAAACACTATTAGTCATTCCTTCTTTTATTTACTCAACTAAGATTTATTAAAGACCTAATATATGCCAGGTACCATCAGACCCTAAGTAGATACTGGGCACGATGGGGCAGACAGTCTCTGACCTCAAGGAGTTTACAGCTTCCTGGGAGAGAGAGGCAGAGAAGCAGACTGTGGTGTGAGAAGGGTTAAGAAGGGTGGGGGGGGCACATATGGGAGAGGCATCTGACTGGAAACCGGAGCTTGCTCCAACAGTGAGGGCTTACAGAGAAAGATCCTTGCTGCAGCAGCAGCATGGAGGGCTCAGACAGATGAGCTGAGGTGGCCAGGGAGGGAACATTCCAAGCAGAGTGAATCGCATGGGCACACACTCCAAAATGAGAGAAGGAGCAGGGGTGGGGGCACACAAGTCTAAGCCTCAGAGAGAAATCTGGGCTGCAGAGATCTGGTCATCGTCATATAGAGTTCTTCAAACCTTAGGAGAGGGCGCAACGAGCAAGGCAGTATGTGTGGAGTGAGAAGAGGTCCATGATGGAACTCCCAGGGCCACCAAAGGGGCAGGTGATGAAAGCCCTGAAAAGGAGAAGGAAATTAGCAAGAGGCAGAGGAAGAGAAACTCAGTCGTGGGGAGAAAAAATTTCAGAAGGAAAGATGGTGACAGTGCCAAATGCTGCCAAGAGATCAATTAAGAGGAAGACTAAACGGTCCTCCCAACAGTTAATCTTTCCGCCTCCTGGAGGCTTCGATTTCACTGTGATGTTCTTCCAACTTCTCTGGGCACGGTTCTGCAGTCCTTTAGATCAGTGTAGACACCACTCTCTCCAAGAAGCCCTATTGTTTACATCTTCTATTTGCCCATCTTCACATCTGTCTGTCCAACCAGGCTGTAAGCCTCACCAAGGCAGGGATGCACTTGTACCTCACTCACCCAGCACAGTACTTAACTTCACGACTGGTGGATGTGCAAATACAAACTAAACAAAGCACCCTTTTTCAGGCAGGCTTTTACTTCTTGGTACCTTCCAGGGTACCCCAGGACCCTGTAGTGGTTGCAAATCCAAAGTATTCTGTTAACTTCCCTTGACACAGTTCGAGTTGTGTAAAATAACTGGCTCACGGCACAGCTTAGTCGCATTCCTCAAGGATTTCATAAATGATCTGAATCTGACCGGAAAACCTCAGTTCTCCAAACCAACCTCATCTTTCCCATTCTCAAGCCCGAGTTCCTGCAGTTCCCAAAATTTGCAATTCCTCTTCATTGTTTTATTTATATATATATATATATTTACATATACATATATATATATTTACATATATATATATATATTTACTTTTGTCTCCAGCTGTCTCTGATTCTACTGAATGAGCAAAATTAAATCACAACCTCCCCTCCTTACCCCGGGCACAAAATTAGGATAACCACCACTACTCTGAATGTTGTAAAGATCGCAAGGGGTAAAGGATGGAAAAGGATATTGTAAGGCGCTGTACACAAGTAATTTATATTTTTAGAAAGTCAGCATTTCGAGGGCAGACCTCTACGGAAGACCGATTCTTCTCCCTCGAGAAAGCCAATCCAGACCCCTGCGCAGCGCGACGCGCCAGGACCCTCCCGCCCCGTTCCATTCGCGTCTGCGCCGGCGGCGCGGGCGGGGGGAGTCACCGGCTCTTCCGCGGCCAACAGGGGCCGGCCCCCGCGGCGCCTCACGCGTCCGGCCAGTTAAGTCTCCGCTTCGGCCCTCACTGGGCCACCTCCGACCGACTGGCCAGAGACGCCGAACCAGGTGCCCTGAGGAGCGTTACGCACCGCGGGGAAGGGGGCTTCCGAGTTGACGTCTGAAACTCCCTGAGAGGTGCCCGCGTCTGCCGGGCTCCCGGAAACGTCGCGCCCGTCCCTCTACTCCGGGAGGCGGGGCCCGCCGCACTTCCGCACACGTTATCAGGAGGCGCCCGTGGTGGAGAGCACAATTGGACAGTTGGGGCGAGGCATGCTGGGATACCGCGGGGTCGGTCTCCATAGCAACCGGCCGAAATTCACGCAGGCCTTCAGCTGGCGGCAAAGACCCTCGTGGTTTCCTCGCTTTGCGGTCGTCTCCCTTTGGGCCGCCGCTACCTCCTTCCCTCCGTCCCCCCGTCCCTCGTGTTCAAGGGAAGAAGCCACGACCCCACCCCCTGCCCGCCAGGTTCAGGAGAGTCATGGAGCCAGCTGTAGGTGTGAACACTCATTTATTTACACATGGTCGTTGGTAGGCAAATAACCCAGCCCAACCTATTTGAGGACACAGATCTGGCAGAGAATCTGCAGACCCTTCCTTTCTCCAAAGCTCCCGAGGGCGGAGGCCTGGAAGAACCAGGAAGTTTAGGCTTCTGCCCAAAAGCTAAGGACTAAATTCAACGCCTTCACCTGATTTCTTTCCAAAAAGTCCCATTATGTTAAGTACTCAGACTTCTCAGTTCTGCCCCATTCATACTTTTCGTTCTCCTACTGCCCACCCACCCCAGGCTGTTAATAATAATAACAATAATACTGTAATAATATTAATAATACTTCACATTTGTACGAAGCTTACAGAATGTTTTCACATATAGCATCTCATCTGAGCCTCCCAACAGTTCTGTGAGGTAGGTATTTTCACCTCCCTTTTACAGACGGGATAACAGGCTCAGAGAGGAAATGGGATTTGCTCAAGGCCACACAGCTAGTTAGTGGTAAAGCTAGGACTTGATCCCAGCACCCCATATTCAAGTCCAGTGTTCCAACACCACAGCTACCACTGTAAAGTGGAGTGACATTTCTTACCCCTGTCAGGCCTGAGGGATGGCCTAAGGAGGGAAGAGGCTGAGACTTCTCTGACTAGGAGAGGGAAGGGCTCAGCAGTGACGAGGGGAGTCGGGGTACTTGGCCTTCAACTCCTGTTTGAACTGGCGGTAAAGGATCTTATTGTGCTGATTTTCGGCCTCCTTTTGGGGATGGAACTTCAAAGCTTCCTTGAAGCCCTTATGAACCAGGAAACCTTCATTCAGCACCTCGAAATCAAATCCTGCCACGTGCAGCTCACAGGCCTGTTGGAGGAGAGACAGGTCAGTGAAGTTGGATGAGACTGCTAGGGCCGAGACTGACATCCCTAAAGCCCCTCTCCCACATCCCCACTCCTCTGGAAGCACCCTGGATCTTCCACACCATCCAACCACTTCGTGAACTATGACTGTCCTGCCTCATTGCCTCCTTTCCATCCAGGACCACTCATAGCTCCCAGAGCCCACCACTCCTCCTGCCCCATTTCCCATGCCCTCTCCCTGGGCACCTGGCTGATGCGATTGAAGCCGTACTGGCGAAAGCGCTCGTCGAAAGTGGGCACCTTGCCTCCGGCCACGTAGAATGGTTCCCAGGGGTCCTGCCAGGGCACCACATAGGCAGGCCTCAGCAAGCTCTCTTCTGGCAGGTTGACCCAGCGGGAGTAGTTGGTGGGCGCCTGGCAGGGCGTGCACAGCCCATAATAGAAGGGCCGCACCTCGCCCACTTGGTAGAGCTGCAACAGCTCGTTCTTGTTCGTGGGCATACGGCGGGCTCGGCGGATCTCAAAGGCAGGCACCACCAGTGCTGTGCCTGCCCACTGCTTGCTCTGATCCAGCATTTCCCGCAGGCCCCTCCACAGCCCCTCGCTGGGCACCATGTCCACGTCGATTACCAGGGCATAGTTGGCCCCCTCACGAGCCAGATTCCTCAGCAGATTATTGGGATAGGAGACATTGGTGCCCAGCGCATAATTGATCCCGGGCTGGGCCACCCTGGCTAGCTTGTCAAAGACCTCCTGGCAGGACCGCAGCAGGGCAAACTCCCCCGGCTCCCGGGGATCGGGCACAGCGGCCTCATAGCGCGAGGGGCACACAAGGTGCATGGCGACCCTGGCGCGCATATCGGGGCAGTGGCTGCTCAGCGCGTAGGTCAGCACCGTGGCTAGCTGCGCCTCCTCCTTGGTGGCCGCGAATACCGACACGGATAGCGGGCCCTCCCAGCGCTCCAACAGGCCCGACAGGTGCAGCAGGTTGTCCACGCTGGCGTGCGTGGCCAGGATCACGTCATTGGGGTCCATGGTGGTCTTCAGTAGGCCCCTGTAGACGCGGTAGTCGCCACTGGCGTCCAGGACGCCTCCAGAGGCCAGA